AATCCTAAACGCTAAACCCCAAATCCTAAGCCCTAAACCCTATAAGCCGTGCAACTGAGGCTGCTTTGGGTGGATCTTTGACACCGACATTTTCGACTCGTCTCTTCAGATTGAGCTGCTATATAACCGCAAGTATCCGAACATCACGGCTGCTTGGGAAGTTCAGGGTGTACCTGGGTGAAAATTAATAATTTTAGGATTGAAGCTTTAGGGTGCTGCCTTGATGTCATGTACGGTTTAAGGTTGAGGGTTTAGGTTTTTGAAGCTAAATGGTAATTCAGAAGTATCCTTGTTGATTAGGTAGTGTCCCAGAATCTATATGCAGTAAGGCCCAACAGGCAGTATGAAATCATAAATGACAAGATTATATTCTCCCAAAACGGCTTCCCGAAATCCGGGGCCCCTTTGTGGCTGGTGACTGTAATAACGACTACGGTATAACGGGATTCATGTTGGGCTCGCATTTTTGGAAGCTCCTTTTGGAACCAGGTTTGGATTCCAAAGGACCCCTTTTTTCTGCCTACTTGGAGGGTCAGGGGGACTCAAGAAGTAGGTGAATAATGGGGACAATCAGGGTTATTACATATGGGTTATGGGGGTTGCTAACCTACTTACTAAGTCCCCCTGACTCTAAACCCTGAACCCTAAACCCCTAACCTACTTACTAAGTGCCCCTGACCCTAACCCCTAAACCCTAAACCCTAAACCCCAACCTACTTACTAAGTCCCCCTGACCCGCCAAGTAGGGTAATGGGAGCCAAGGTTCCCGGCATGTACGCCGCAGGCACCATAAGCCACAGTTTGGACTTCCGAACCTGGGTTGCTGTTAAGGAACTTGGGTTTAGGGTTCAGGGTTTAGGGTATTAAGTCACCAGAATGGGTATATCTGAGCTATAGTCTGAACTCCTTAAAGGGGGTTATATAGGGGATTATATAGGGTAGTATTATAGGCCTCATTAGGGGGGATACTAGGAGTTTAGACCATAGCTCATATAGTAATTAATAGGGTTCCCCCAATATAGTAACTTAAATTAAATTAAGTTCCTTAACAGCAACCCAGGAAAGTCTGCCGGGGGATTCATCCATGGCTTTCGCTATACCTCCCGGGCTCTCTTCCGTCTGCTAGAGGAGAACAAGAGAAGTCTTGTTACCTAAGCTTAGTACCCCATTATGGTCATATGGATTATTTCTAAAATTAAGAGTTTTCGGGTGTCTAAATCATATTATGGGCACCTAATATTTAGGGGTACTAACATGGGACCCTAATTTTGGGAACCCCGATATGATAGTGATGGGTCTGTATTATAGAGGTTGGGTCACTAAGCTGCTTTCATCATCAGAGGAGAAGAACTTCAACGTCCCCTGGCCGCAGACTACCTGGCAGCTGCCAACAACCTGTGCCGTAATTGGTTGTTCTGGTGACGGCAGCCTGGACGTGGGCTTGGAGCCACTTTTGGACAAGCTGCTAGAAAGGATCAACACTGCCTCAGGCCGGGTTGCTGTCAAGGAACTTAATGAGATAAAGGTTACTTTCAACAAGGAAACCATATTACTTACTATAGACCCATGTTCTTTTGGAAAACTTAATTTGAGCTCCTTCGCAGCAACCCAGCAGGACCTTATCAGATGTTCGAGTTCCTGGGGGACATGGTCTTGTTTGAGAGCAATGCGGGACAAATGCAGCTGCGCTACTTGGAGGAGGTGCCCCTGCGCCACTTCCACGCGCGGTATCAAGGCTTCCCACGCCTGACTCTGGGTTGCTGTTAAGGAACTTAAGTTAAGTTACCACAATGGGTATATACATATATAGTAAATAATAAGGCTTCCTCAATATAGTAACTTAATGTAAGTTCCTTAACAGCAACCCAGGACTTGGGTCTTCCGGTACAATGACTTCTTCCACGGCCCGAAAGTGTTGGGCGAGGGCAGGGTAGGGGCAACGCGGGCGCAAGACGCACACAGGTCCCACTTCTTGCATCCCATGCTTGCTTACTTTCCTTCCGGCGAGGAGAATGCCACCATGAGACACTGGCTAGTTGAGGATGTCTTTACGCAATGGAACGGGCAAGATGACCGAGTGCCCTTGGGCAAGTTTCTGAAGCGAGTTGCTGCAAGCGTCATGAACATGACGGCCGATGTCTAGCAGGCAGCAGACACACTGTATCTACTGGGTTGCTGCTACGAAGCCAAAATTAAGTTACAGGTTGCCAAAGTAATGACAAGTACTACACATTCTTGTTTCCCTGCAAGAGCAACTTCAATGAAGTTGAACAGCAACCTGGTCTATGTAGCAATGCACAGCCCACTTGCAGTCCGTAGTCAGCAGCATTACCAGTAGCTAAGGCAATAAGAGGGCTTTGATAAGCCCGACCTTTCTAAGCTTGGAGCTATGTTAGGGTTTAGGGTTTAGGGTTTAGGGTTTAGGGTACGGGCCCTTAATCGTGGGGCCCATACATACCGATCATGTACGTTGAAGAGCTTACAAGCCCAATGAGGGGCCCATAGCCCAAAAGCCAGGACCCTAGAAACAGGTAGGGGCTCGAGGGGCACATGGTTAGGACCATATTCTATAGTTTCCATGTCATTTTCCAATTGGTTCTCCATTATTGGGGTAGTATCCCCCAAACCTTAAACCCTAATCCCTAGGCCCAAAACGTCAAACTCTAAACCCTACATACACCCTATAAATCCATGCCCCTGTCTCTATGTATATATATATATAATTCTAAACCCTATATACACCCTATAAGTCCATATCCCTATATGTACATATATACATATACATATTTATTTATTTATGTATATATATATATACCTATATATATATATATATATAGGTAGGAGAAGGGTAGAGGCCTTGTAGGGGTCCATGGTTAGGACCTCAGAACCTCGTTAGCTGCGAGTTGGCTTGGGCAAGGAAGTGGTGGTTTAGGGTTGTAGGGTTGTAGGGTTTGGGGTGTAGGGTTTAAGGTTTAGGGTTGAGGGTTTTGAGTTTTTAGGGTTTGGGGTTTAGGGTTGAGGGTTTTGAGGGTTTTGAGTTTTTAGGGTTTGGGGTTTGGGGTTTAGGGTTTAGGGTTGAGGGTTTTGAGGGTTTGGGGTGTAGGGTTTAAGGTTTGGGGTTTGGGGTGTAGGGTTCAAGTCTCTTGCCGCCCGAAGGGCAGCATTGAACCTGCGACCACCTTTAAAAAAAGTGCTCGCGTTGAGGCGTGGGATTTCAAGAGCATGGGGCCCAAAATAAAGTGGTCCCAGATTCCATGTATAATCATGGCATCGGGCATGTCAAATAGAACTCAGATTGAGACTGGTAATTGCTTAGGCCTGTACAGTAGAGGGCTGCAGAACTGTACGGCATCTGGCTTGTGGTTGCACAACAGTTGCCCTCAGCATGCGATGATTTTGGGTGAAGCCTGCGGTTCCTCATGTCAATTCGCTAAGCGTTTCCGTTGCCAGCTATCCTCTTGCGGATTTACCTACCTGAGTACATTACACTATGCCTTCATTTGTTTGAGTTCTCACTACAACTCTAGGCAGACAACCCTAAACCCTAAACTTAGGGGTACTTGGAAATGATTTTTTACTTTTTGCTTATTATAATCCTAAGGAACAGCAAAAATTGTAATTTTTACTAGGGTTCCAAGCTCTCCATGGTAAGCACTTGTTCCAATCTCTAAAGAGTTATCGAGCATCATCTGGCCCGACTTCCATGCAGTTGTCGAAGCAGGGGAGGATTCGTAGCCGCAAAAGAAGCCCTCAGGTTTTGAGGTACCTTTGTAACATGGGTTGCTCTGAGAATTATGGGCCCCTTTTGGTTCGCAGATATATATTACGCCAACTAATATTTAGGGGTACCAAGATGGGACACGAATTTTGGGAACTACCCATATCCATTTGGAGTCAGGCATGTGAAGTACTACGGGGAGGGCAGAATCTTCAGTATTCCTAGTGCATCCACTTAAGTGTGCCCTCCAACCACCCTTCAAATAGACTCCATGCTGCAAGGGTTGTTACTTGTCATAGCTCTTGATACCGTGCTGCCTAAGGGGTTTCCAGAAATCTTCAGTCCCTAAGATCAAATTATTCGTTCCTTAAGCCCTTTGCCCTAAACCGTGTACGGCAACTCTCCCACGGTTCTGCCCTAACTAGGCTTATCCAGGTCGAACTCAGGGTTAGGGTTTCGGGTGTAGGGTCAAGACTTTGGGGAACCTTGAGGGCGGGGGTAGTAGGAGCGTAGTATAGGCAGGCGAGTAGGAGAACCCATGATCAAAAGGCCTCTGCTGCTGGTGACTGCACTCGGTGCCGGCAGCAACGTGGCATCTGCAGGCAGCGGTGTGGAAAGCGTTTGTTCTGCTTGGAGGGTCATGGGGACTTATTAAGTAGGTTAACAGAGGTGTTAACTCGGGTTATTATTTGGCTTATAGGGGGTTGTAAATATACTTCTTATTCTCAAGATGATAACTGCAAAGCCGTACGGACCCGTATAATGACCTTTTAGCCCACATGAGCTTTAGTCAAAACTCCGAGTGTCCTCCTTAATACGCTCTATAATACTCGCCTATATTGTTCCCCTATATAATTCCCTGCAAGGAGTTCAGACTATAGCTCACATGTAATTTTTGGCGTCCCTAAGGATACCCCCCCAGTTTGATCAACTCTGATATCTGGCATCCTTCTGGGAGTCTTTCACGTGATGCTTCTACTTGGAAGTTTACGGATAATGTAGACCCATGATTAACAACCCCCCTCCTTTTTAGGGCCTTAATCCCTATTTAGGGGAGGGAATTTATTCATAAGGGGTCTGGGTTACTTGTAGGCAGGGTGTTAAGCCTACTCACTGAGGTCATAGATGTAGCTATCCTGGGAGGAGGAAGGAACTCTGGGTCAGCTTAGTCGCTGCGATATGCTGTGATTTGTAGGGTTTAGGGTGTTTTAGGTGGTGCAAAATTGTCCTCCAAATCCTAAAGCCCAAAACCCCTGAACCCTAAACCCTTAAACCCTAAGCCCTAACCCCCTACACCCTAAAACCTCACACCTTAAACCCGTAAGCCCTAAACCCCTCAAGTCTGGAACTCTAAACCCTAAACCCTACGAACCCAACCCTAGACCCTAAACCACTCTAGCTCTAAGTTACTAAGTGCACTTGGTCATGACCACTGGGATCGCGAAGTACCTGGCTTGGAGACCTTTCTTGCAGACAGCAGGGAGACCTTTTGGAGGGACCCCTAATAGAGACCTTCGTAGCTTATGGGGATTAATATGGGGACATCCTAGGGATGTGTATATAATGACTATACAAGGGTTATATATAGTAAGGGAATTAAAGGTCCCTATCAGGGGGTCCCTCCTAAAGTCCCTAGAGTCAGGGGTTTAGGGCGACAGATGGCATTGTCCGTGATCCATAGGGTTCAGGGTTTAGGCTTTAGGTTGCCAGATGGGTAGTTCCTCGAATTAGGGTCCCTTTTTGATCTTATTGAGCAAAAAGGGGCCCACAATTTTGGTAGCTTGCAGGATTTGGATCTCACTTGGGAATATGTAGTCCCTTTCAAATAGATAGAATATGGTTATGGGTACATCATAATAAGATCCCTATATACCATATACCCCATGTTCTATCTACTTAAGGGGCACTGTAGCCCCTAAACCCTAAACGCTAGACCCCTCAACATCAGGCAAGAGGGAAGCCTCTCACCACTTCTCATTCGGCGCGAACATCGCCTGTTTCCCAGCCCGCCAGAGGAGCGGTTGAGGTTTTAGGGGCTAATTAGGGTTTAGGGGTTAATTAGGGTTTAGGGGTTAGCTGGTTTTGAGGCTTTCTTCAAAAGAGGAGTACTATGGGGATCCGGGAGAGTGAGCCGGGGTTGTAGGGAGATTATACATAAGACGAGTATTGCGCTCCCTGTGAGGGATTGTAGCTTACGGTAAATATGACACCGATCATGTTAAGAAACACTCATCGGACGATTGCTTCATGACTCTTAGCCTTCATCGTTGCCATTGTCCAGGGGTAGCGTATGCAGTACATATGCTTGGGATCCAAAGGGGGTTCATATATAGGTACTTTGGGGCGCTAAGTACATACTATATAAGACTGCCATGCAGTACTGATATTTCATGTTTCTGCGTTCCGCCAATGGTGCTCGCATGTAAACGCTACCCATGAATCGCCATGTCTCAGAATGATCCCAATATAATGTTTAAGGGAAGCCCCCATAGTTCAGATGTAGTCCTAGGGTCTCTCAACCCCCCCATCCCCCACCCTAAACCGTAAACAGCAACTGTACCTTCCTAACATTGTTCTATGCGCCTATACACCCTCCTACGTATAGTCCCCCTTAAGTAGATAGAATTTGGTTTTGAAAGGTAATTTATAAGAAGATCCCCATATACCCCCACCCTAAACCCTAAACCCTAAACCCTGTATTCTATCTACTTGAGGGGGACTATAACCCAATAGAAGCCGCGTGGCAGAGGTCATCTTCACTTCGGTCCTTTGGCGAATCGCCGCCGAGACGCCGGAGTCTGGGCGACCCTGGGCTCAGAGGCCCCGAAGTCTGGCCATGGAGGGTTTAGGGTTTAGGGTTTAGGGTAGGGATATATGAGCTATAATCTAAACGCCTTAAAAGGGGATTATATTAGAGGCTTATATAGCGGACTACTCTAGGGGATATTAAGGTTTATACCAGGAGTTTAGACTCCAGTTCACATGCGTTGATATAGCGTAATACTAGGGCTAAAGGATTTCAAGGCTTGGGGTTTAGGGCTTTAGGCTTCAGGGGGTTTCCGGGTTTAGGGTTTAGGGCTGAGAGTTTGGGAGTTTGGGTCTAGGGTTTAGGGTTATTGCCTGAGTTAGATAGCTACCCAATGTTTAACTTTGAAGCGGGATACCCTGGATATATTTGGATTTACTGGGTATATCAGGGTTTGGAATATCATGGAAACAAGGGCTTCATGGAAATGTTTAATGTTAGGGGCGTGGGGGCTTTCATATTTGGGGAAGGGGACCAGTCAGTCATGGTTTCATGGGGTTTAGCATAGTTCAAGAATTGGGGTTTGGAGTCAGGGTTCATGGCTTGGTGTTCTGGGCGCTGGGTTTAGAGTGTTGGGCGTGAGTTATGGGCTCCATACGATCACTGATGCCGCTGCCAG